ATCAGTTCCCTCACAAATAATGCATGTTTTAAAAATTGTAGAATTGTTGTCATCAGATAGAACAACCTTGCAGTTATCCGTTGCAATGAAACAAAATTATCTTCTCAAAAAATTTTAATTATAACATAATGAGCAATTATATTTAAACACGGAATGAAATTTAGCTACACTACTTAAAATTGTCAGAAGAGTAAACTTTGAGTAGAAGAAATCGAAACTGTTAATCCTCCTAAATTATTGAAATTACAAAAAAATAAACAATTTCTGATTGGTTGAAAACAGCGGAGTGAAGGAATTCACATAATTGAGGTAAAAATGAGCAATGAATCCTCTATAAACATAAGATTGCAGACTAAAAAAATAGAAAATTTGTTATCTTAATTTGTGGCGTGAAGCCAAGCAAATTTTTTTTTTTAACAAAAGATAATTAACTCCTTTAGGATAGACCCATTTACTCAATTAACCTCTGTAAAGGTCTCTAAAGCTGAATGAATACTCTCAAAGCTCTTAAACTCTCAAAAAACTCTCTTTTTCTCCAGCTATGAACTCTCAGAGAAACAAAGCGTGCTCTCTCCTCGAAATATTGAAAGCAACTGGTGGAAGTCCAAAAAGAAAGGTTGGACTATCATCCCCAAATTTTGATTGGTCACTCAGTTAATTTTTATTGGCTCAGGAATTCTCTAGATGCTGACGTCTCGATAGATGATTGGCTCGTTGAGTTATTAGATAATAACTCGAATGCTCATTAGTGTAGGAGAAATTCGAAGGATAGATGCGGGGCTCTTAGAAATTTTCTACAGTTCGACCTAAAGAATTTTAAGTAGTGCCGTGTCACAAGAAATTTAACTCAGGGGCCTAACCTAACCAGAGAGGTTAGGAAATCTGTCAGTCTGTTGACTGAACATCCTCCCCCGTTGACGACTTGGTTGTCAACTTCCTTCTTCATCTCATTCTCGCCGCAGATAGGTAGCACACAGAGTTTAGCGATTGATCTTGTGAGTGTAGTAGCTGCTGTTCTAATGGTGACAACTTTAGTAAGACCATCAGCTCCTAGATGTAGTTTCTCAACTCGAGCAAGTGGCCATTTACTCGGAGGAAATCTCTCGTCGGTTAGTAGCACCATGGATCCCACCCTGATCGACCTTTTTGCCGCTGAGTTCCGTAGGGTCCTCTGAGGCCAAAATCGCCGCATGCCCTGCTCGAAAGCTCTACCACTGTCTATGACTCCTTAAGTGGATAGCCGCCCTTCTCGCTAATGCCTCCACCATAAGTTCCAGTGGAGGGATGCTCAGTAGGCAGTCCATACCTAGGGTTGGGGTCGTCCTTAAGGCTCCTGTTATACCAAGCAATGCTGCTCTATAGACCTTGTTTAATTGCCTCCTGCAGACGTCTCTCCTGACGGAGGTTCACCATACTATGGATGCGTAGCTTAGTTGGGGAATGACGACAGCTGTGTACAGCCATTTTGTTGTTTTCAGCTTCAAACTCCATGGGATGCTAAACATTCATCTGCAGGTCCAGAAGATAGCCGTGGCCTTCTTGACCTGCTTGTCCACATGCCCCCCCCCTCCTTAGAGCCTCCTGTCTAAGGTTACTCTGAGGTAGCGCACTGTTTTCGAATATCTCAGCTGTTTGCCAAAGATGGAGGGAGGCCTGAGTTCCTTCCTCTTGTAAATAAGATCAGTTCAGTTTTGCTAGGATTGACCCTGAGCTCCCGAACCTGGCACCATCTCTCAACGACGTTGAGGGCTGTCTGCATCCTGAGGGACAGACTTTCCAAATCATCGCCTGTGACCATGATGGCCACGTCATCAGCGTAGCCTTGAACGCTGAAGCCTGTCTTTTATAGGTTCGTAAGAAGTTCGTCCACCACCAAGGTCCACAGCAAGGAAGATCGGACACCTCCCTGCGGGCAGACCCTGGCAATTGCGGCTCGAACTTTCGTACTTAAATGGGCAATGGCCGTTCTATAGGCAAGTAGGTTCATGATACATCGTGCAAGCGTAGCGTCTGCTCCGAAATTCTGAACTGCCTCGCCTATAGTTTCGAAGAGTGTGTTATCAAACGCCCCCTGTATGTCCAAGAAGACTCCAATTGCCAACCTATCTGTCTCCAGGGCTCTCTTCAGGCCTCCTACGAGGTCATGAAGAGCAGTCTCTACATACTTGCCACTTTGTTAAGCGTGTTGCACTGAGCATAAGGACCTAATGCACAGTGTCTTTAGGACAAAGGAGGTTAGACTTATGAGCCTGTAGGTCTTTGCCTGATCGTAGCGGTCCCCATTTTGGGTATGAATACCCTTTTGACCATTCGCCAAGCCTTAGGTATGTAGCCCATGGCAAGGCAAGATCGGTAAATATCTACCAGTCTGCGCTATAGTCGCTCCTCGCCCATTTGCAACAGAACCGGATAAACTCCATCTGTGCCCGGATTTTTGTAGCAATCGAAGGTACCGACTGCCCGTTTTACTCAATCGTAAGTCACCACTCGCCTGGCGGTTCTCCAGTCGGTCCTTACGAGCCCACCCAGTCCATCAGCCTTGCTTGTGATTCCTTGCACTGGGGACGATCCCGGAAAGTGCGTTTTAATAAGGAGCTCCAGTATGCTTCGATGATTATCGATCATCTCTCCTTCAGGACATTCTAGGCCTCGGGGTGCCACGTTCCTACCGGAAGTAAGCAGCTTGCGGATCCTGGCTACCTCAGGTCGGGCCTCCAGTCTCTCACAAAAGCTTCTCCAGGCTGGCCTCTTTAATGACTTGACCATAGACCTGAATTTCCTCCGAGAGGCTTTATATTCAGTCCATATCTGATCTGTCTTGAGCTTCTTGGCCCCGTTAAAGAGTCTCCTAGCTTCCCTGCGAGCTTGTCCGAGTTCCGTGTTCCACCATAAGACTCTCCTTCTGTCACCGGCCAGCCGTGTCGCCGGCCCTCTTGCGCATTTTCCCGTAGAAGAGTTACCCACCGGCTCTGCTCCAGGCCTTACCATGTCGGTCAGACTGATCTGAGACAAAACCCTCCCCACCTTTGCCAGCTCCTAGTTCTCCGTGGGTCTCCACCGTGCCCCAGGAGTTGGCGTAGCCTCCTACTACTCTGTTAGGATACCGGAGGTTGTGAGGAAGTTGCTATTTACGATTTTGATGTCACAATAAATATAATTTTATTAATGGTCTTTAAGCATTTCACAATCATAAAAAAGGTAATTATGTAACAAGCAATTTTCAGAGGATGACGATGAGATGCTGGGTGGTGATGATTCCTGGTGGCGTGAAAAAATCCTGTCGTCACTTCGGGAAGCTGGGCCTGGAGAATCACAAATTTCAAAGAGACGAGATCATAGAATGAGATAACCAACGTAGTGGTCGCTAAGATTGTTGTGAGGACGAACTGTCCACTGTCATGAAACACGGTTTCACTCTGAAGGTGGACAGACCATAGTATTGAACAATGCAAGAAGTTATCACTAACCCCAACGTGGAGTCTTGTGCACTAAGCGATGACACACATGATGTGTCCCTAGGCCTTATATAAAGGACCACGTAATTTCACCAAAGAACGAAAAAGAATACAGAGATATTCTTCACACTGTGGGTGATTAAAGAAAAGGTTCCCGGAAAGAAATTCAGAAGACGAGTAAAAGTCGCGACGCGCGGAAAGAAGAAAAGGAACCGAACTGAAAGTGTCGAAGGATCAGACAGAACTCGCTGGGTCCTGAGAAAAAAGAGAGGGGTGATAAGAAAAAAGGGAAGACCTGGTCTTTTGTTCAGGACTCTGGGTTTTTTGGTGTTGAGAACATGGAAAGTTCTTCACACATCTGGCAGGAGGAAAATTCCACCCGTTGGTGACCACATGTTTGCAGGCTGTGGAAGGCTTAAGTGCAAACATGGGAAATCACCGCCATAAAAAAGTTTAGGCGCGCAGGTACACGTGTGCGTGAGGAACCATGAGAACGCTCATGCTTCCCATTTTTCATTTTTTGTGAGGAGAGATCATAAAAAAAATGAATGAGGTTATTCTTACCAAATTTCAAACATACTCTGAGGTTTGCCTGTTTTCCCTTTATAGCCTTTGGCGCCTCGTAAAAACGAGCTCTGCCTAGGCTGCAGTAAGGACTCATTCCTAACCCTTTTAACCTTAGATTACTAACCTTATTTTTTGACGTTTAATACTAACCTTCGTCGTTTTGACTACGCTGTATAATGGAGGGGATTTTAGGGGTTTAATTGAAAAATATATTGATATTTATGTCTTTATTTTAAGTAAGGAGTATTAACCTACATATTTAGAGCTTATAATATATACTGTAACATATGTTTTTATCCGAACAGTCATCATAGTGAGATCATAGTTTACATGCATAATCAACATTTACATACATTTTTAAAAAATCGTACATATTATATATAGCCTTAAATTCGTCAAAATAAACTACAAAAACCTAGAATAATATATCAGAAATAACAATTTAGTGTTGCTTTAGGAACTAATACATTTGTGACACACATCAAGTTTGTGTTCCCCACACAACGATTTATAGCACTTAGTGCACTTACTTCTAGTCATCCTTCGCTTTTTGGAGGGACATATAGCACATATTTTTCTTTTATTTTGCTGTGGGGGGACATCAGCTGCATTACTTTGCTCAGTCTCATTTATAATACTCTGATTACTACTTCCTACCGTGTTCAAAATTTGTGTAATTGAGTCCCGCAGACTGGTCTGTAGAGTTGGTATGAGCAATCTTTTTTGCATGTGTGGTTCGATCAGCTTGTGATGCAGAGCTTTTAGATATTCACGCCTCGATAAAGGTTTTTTCTTAGCCTCTATAGTGTTTGTTACATAAATGACGTAACTATTTACAAATGCAATATTGAGCATAGCACAAAAGTTGCACAGCGGCCAGCGTCGTGTTTTTGGACTGCAAAAGGCAATGGAACACATTTGGTCCAAAGTATCTATCCCTCCTTTGGTTTTATTGTAAAATTCCACCATTGTGGGCTTTTAAGTATGCTCATTGATGGTTCCCTCTTCGTGACATGTTGATAGTAGGAATAAAACTTTTTGGGGCTTTGCTTTGTAGGAAAGTAGTGTGAGTTCGTTATCATAACAGAACGAAGCTGTTCCAGTTCTTCTAGTGCGTTCATTCTGAAATTCTACCGGTATCTCCCGTTTGTTTGCTCGTGGAGTTCCAACCAATGTGAGCTTATATGGTTCTTTTACTAAACCTTTGGCTAGTGGCACCGAAGTGAACCGATTGTCTATTGTACATATTTCTATTTGTACCATGAACAGTACGTGTCAATTTCTTTACAAAATATTTACCAAGTAGTACTCCATCTGTTTTAGTAAAAGAACCTAGATAAGGCTCTGCATCTACCATATACTTTGTAGAATTATCTACAAGCATCACAATTTTTATACCATATTTATTTGGTTTATTCGGTATATATATATACGAAAGGGGCATCTGCCTCTGGAACCTAACAGCTGTTTATGAATGGTAAGATAGCATCCAGATTTATAGTTCTCTCGACACTTAGCTATGAAAAGATCCCAAATATCTCGAAAGGGAGCGAACACATCGGTTAACCTCCGTTCTTGACGAGTAGACTTGTCGTCAAATCTTAGGCAGTTTATTAGCAAATCAAACCTTTCACAAGTCATTGTACTACAATATCGATTTCCACAGAATGTGTTGTTAAACAACTCTCTAGACGGTAAATGATTATCTTTTATTGCTGCAGATAATGGAAGAATGCCTATGAGAGCTCTAATTTCATTAGCATTAGTCGGTCTCTGAGTGGATTTCACTGCTTTATATTTTCGAGATTTTATTGCTATCTCTGCATTGGTGTGGGTTACAATTAAATCAATCATATTGTCAGTAATGAAAGATGAAAAGCACTGAAGTGGATCTAAAAGATTTTGGCAAGAACGTACAGGTCCAGGTCTTACATGAACTATGTTCCTTGAAGGTCTCCTGCTTTGTGACCTTGGCTGTCGTGATGACCATTTGTGTTTATCTTTCCCACGAAGAATATTACGCGACAAAACAAAAATATAATAATATACACCATTATTACTTAAGAAAAGATAAAAGAAAGTAATTTTTACCCAACTAAAAAGTACAAAAAGTTACGTTACTACTAACCTTCGTCGATGCGACGAGCCATGGTTGCTAGAACGGCGCTTACGGGCCTCCTGCGCACAAAGCACTACCGTCCGTCGCGAGGGCAACGGGTCGACTGAGATTAGCTGAAATTAGAAAACCGCACGGTCTCGCGCGCTAAAGTTATCGCGATTTTTTTGATGTCGCGTCGTCGAATCAACGAGGCTTTGTAATCTAGGGTTAAGAGCTTCAACGACTCGTCGTCTACACCAATGACTAAGTTAATCAGCATTGGCGTCGCCTTCGTGTTCCATACCCGCCAGAGGTTGGTATGCAGTCCTGCGTTTTGTCCTTCGAGCCTTTATAAGATTATCGAAGTGAGTCTTGAAATTTTCTCCTTCTCGAGAATCTCGATGCTTCCTCCTTCCAAGACTTTTATGGAGGGGACTGTCTCCTTGAGCCAAGTGGCTGTCCATCCATAAAGACAGTTAATTTACAAAAGCCCTGAGTCGAGATTCTGGCCCTCAAATGCCAGAGCAGTCCCACTTTTGATGCCATCACCCAGGGCTCGAAGAAGTCCATTCGGTCTTCAGCACCAGTGCTTACACCTTGATTCGGGGAGTTGGTCCACGGTGCCTCTTAAAGTGCATACACACCAAAGCTGCACTTTCCGACGGCTTCCCTCGTGTTCACACTCGGTATGCCTCACGGTCTTCCGAGGCCTCCACTCGATACTACCCGCACAATGCTCCTATCCGCCACCTGGAAAGGCGCCCGGTAGGTACTCAACCAATGTTCCATTTTCTCGTTTATAGAGATCACGGAATTTCGGGGGTAATTTAAAATTACCCCGGGTCATAAAATCCTTTTCATAGCTCAGGTATTGACGCTCTTACAAACATACCATTTGACGGATTATCAGGCCAAGATTTCCTAAGGAATCAAAAATGCACTACTGATTATGACAAAACTTTGTTGTCAATTAATTCATTGCCTTCTGTATTCCTTTTCATAAAAATATTCCTCAATATTCTAATTTAATTGTGGAAAATTCAGAAGAAAAAAAAAATGTCATTCAATGAAAAAGACTTAGTTTGTATTTTTCAAAAACAAATAATGCCAGGTTTATCAAAAAAACTTTCAAGTAACTTTGAAGGTCCATATAAAACCGTAAAAGTACATCCAAATCAAACAGTAGACCTTCAAGTAGGCAAAAAAGTATTACTTACCATAATAACCTTTTAAAACCTTGTTTTACAGATAAATCTGATACTTTTGCTATTTTTCCTGACTCCCATCCAATCTTTAGTTCCTATTACCAAAACAATATCCTTTCTAATACTAGTAGAATCTTTCGCGATAAGGAAGGAATAGCGAAATATCAAATTCTAAATTAACGCTTTTAACCCATCTAAACTACACCCATCTTAATAAAGGCAGAAAAATACTGATTGATGGTCTGATTTAAAGTCTAGGAAACGACGTGGTTTAATTAACGGTGTATTATATGCACTCAATTGGTTATTTGGAACCCCAGACGCTGATGATGCACAATTTCACACTGGCAGTATAAAAACATTAATAAATAACGATAAACAGACTCAAACGCTTTTAAAGTCTCAGGTTTAAATAATGACTAGTACGATCAAAAATTTCAATAACTTTTTGCTCTCATCAAAAAGTCAGGAATAGAAAATAAATGGAAATATAGAACAAATTGAACAATACGCGTCAGATACCAACAATCAACTGAAATTCTTACTTGCAGGAATTTTGATTACTAAACATATAATATTATTACAAATTTTTATGTACCAAATATCGCATGAATATAAAAACTTTTTTGAAGCTGTAAACTTGGGAATTAATAATCAATTTTTACTTTTTTCAATTACCCCAGATGTTTTGTTAAAAGGATTGCAACAGTATCAAGTTGAACACGACTTAGTTCTAGAGCCATACCGGAATAATATAATTTTCTTATATAAATTAATCAAAGTAGAAATGCATCTTCAAAAAAGAACCTTCATATTTGCCTTTAAAATACTCTTAGTTAGAAGAATCATCTACAAACTTTATCATATTATACCTCTCCCCATGCAACATCAAAACAATTCTTACTTTTTTTATATCCAACTTCAAGCTTCCTATTTTCTCTTATCTATTTCCAAACCCCCATATGTATTCTGCCTTTTAACTCAAACTAAAACCAATACAATTAACAAACATAGATCTCACAGACCTTAAGTTCACTTCAAAAAGTAAAATGATTTCGACGAAATTTTAACGAAACGACTAAATGAACCATTTGTTATTTCATATACAAACTGGTTTAACATTTTTTTTGGTAAACTGTTTTTGATGCTCAAATGAATTGGATGTATCAATTGGATCAAGAGACTATGCTGTTTCACTCGAAGTCCTTGAAATGGTAAAATATTACCTCCAATTGTCAAAAATTTCATTAACTGCAACTTGGACTCTGATCTTCGATCTGAATATCAAGAAGCCAGCGGGGACATCGTTGTTCATGAGAGGGTCGACCGACTTCTGAGGAACAGAACACCATTACCAAAGATTGCCGAAGAAATCAACCCAGCAGAAATGAAACCTATAGTCAATACCACATCAACAGCACTTTCATCAAGAAGAAGCACCCCACCGATTTAAAGAAATTTGAAATTCTAATTAATACCCTTTTTCGTAATATTTTCTCAAGAGTATTAAAGACCTATATCTTCATACTTAACGAGGGAGGTGTGCGATACCTTTTTATATAAAATATCAGTGCTCTGCAGTGGTCTGGGTACTATCCAAAAGGTCCTCACGACCAACTTTCCACTGGAAAAAATGAAAACACCTCGAATAGAAGCCGTTCCTAATTGTTTATAACAAATGGAATTGATATAAACGAAATGAGTGTGTTCTTATTCATTTGATATGGTTAGTTACTTCATATCAGTAAAAGAAAAAATTGTGCGTTAGATGAATTTAAATATACCTCATAGATCGTTTTTTTCATTATTTCGACAAATTTTATTGTTATAAACGAAAAAAGTATGTTTTCATTTATGTCATACGGTTGATAATATTTTTTTAGTAAAAGAAAAAATTATGCGTTAAAAGTACTCATATATATAGAATGGATCTCTATTTTTATTGTTTATAACAATTTAAAATTTGTTATTTAAATATTATCATGATTAATAATCATTTGTCATTGACAATTCAATTATTATGAACACAATTTCATATTATCAACAATCATTTTTGTCTATTATATTGTCTTCAATGCGGTTTCTACCATTTCAACACAAGTTTAAAATGTTTTTATTGCTAGTTTTGTTTTTTCGATGAAATAACGTTATCATTTTCCTATACAATTATTACAACGATTTAATATTCATATTTTTTAAAAAATTTTGTCTAAAAAATGATATAATTTATAAATTTTAAAATTCAGGTAGTTCTCGAGACCATTTTTTGTTCTCGAGATAATCGAGGCAAAAAATAATTCCGAATGCACATACGCCCAAACGCACCTACCCACTTACGCACATACGTACATACACACACACAGACGTCCACTGGAAAACAGTCGTATTCGACTCTGGGGACCTTAAAACGTGGATATATGTTAAAATTCGGGATTCGCAAAATCGGACCCATCACTATAACGTCTCAGTGGGAAGTTAATAAGTTTTAAATAATACTTTATATATTGATAAATAATAATATATTTTTCACAATCCTAACTAACTCTTTAACATTTGTACTTAACGAGTGAATAAAGATTAAGTTTTTCAACTTAACTCAATTGGTATCCAGCACTTTTTCAAAAATATTCTGAAAATTTTAATGTACATGATAAACTTTATGCTAGTTCTTTACAAAGTGATACTTTGAACCAAGGAAAATATAATTTTGATGAACAAATACTAACAACGACAATTTATTTTTTTAAATCATTGTTAATTGTTAGGTATCTGGACGTATATACGACTTTATTTTTTATCATCATTAATACAGCCTAAATCAAATAATATTGCTACAAACACAAATAATAAAAAACGGCCATTTTAGAAAACTTCGATTTCTGAATGCAAAAAAGGAATGATAATTAATGTATTGGTAAATCATCAAAAGCAGTTCCCTTCCTTCTGGGCTGTACAAGAATGTGCGCCGAGCATAAAAAAAATTTAGTACGTTCAATAACACAATAAACATAACAACCAAAAACTCGTGTGACTGTTAAGTTTTTTTAAAAGCATGAAACTTTAGAAATATTAAAAATATTTAAGTGTTGAAGGCTAGAGTATTGTTTCAAATAATGAGACTGGTTTTATTCTAAAGACATACGGAATATTAATTATTCAAAAGTCTAGAGAACACATAGTTATGCTATTGCAACAACATCGCATGTGGAAGTGATCCACCGCAGTCACATTAGCTTCCACTAGAATATGACGGTTTTCCGTAGATATTGACGAGGAGAGCATTTGTGTCATTGTTGGAAAATAATTTCACTGTTGTTTATTAACAATTAAAATATGGCACTGTGCATTTTTTAATCTTTTATTTCATTTCAATTAAATTTGTATTAAAGAAAATACAATAGAAGAATAATAATGATGTATCTTGTCGGCCGCAATCTTGTATACCACACTCCATTTTTCCTCGTTTCCGTGGGTTGTGACCTAGTTTTTCGAGCTCTTTGTTTTTGCCTTTTTTATCGCTTGAAAGTACTTTCTTACCTGCTGGTAGTATCGGAGTCTTGCTGTCGTGATTCGATGGGTATCTGCACCAATATTTTCGATGCGCTGGTATCTATGGCGCAGTCTATATACACTGCGCTTTAATCGGGACAAGTGGTTGTTCCACTAGGGATTCGCTTCCCTCGGTGCTTTCCAACGGGGCATGGATTTTTTGCGAAGATCTGTTAACTCATTTACGATAGTGTCAGCGAATCCATCAATGTTTATCAGAGAGTCCAGCAGAAAGTGTGCTTTCTAGCTTGGACATCAACTTTCCAAAAGCTTCCCAATCAGCTGCTTTGAGATTGAA